TCACTGGCTTCTGAAGAGAAAAAAGATATTAAAAAGTAGTTATGTAGTTAATAGTCTTTTCATGAGAATTAACAAAGGTAACAAGACAGCACCTACACTTTTCAAGTACCTTTCCTCTTAAAGTCATTTAGAAGCGGTCAGAGCAAGCATTAAGTATTTAATTCATAAACATAGTATAAAGGAAAAGCTAAAGATCATCTTCATATGCTCAGACACTTTAGTCTTGACCATGGTATGCAGTTTGAAACCTATGCCATACCAAATCCAATAAGAATCTACTAATTATGCCTTCCTCTTAAGTGAGCTGACATCACACCTGGCAGCCACTTGCCAGAACAAGCTTCACACAGAAAGCAATAGCACCTGATTCCTAGTGTACAGGCTGTAATTCAGCTAAAGTTGCCTTGCCTGCTATACAGTTAAGAGCAGCTTCACCTCAGTAGTTACAGGTGCTACTTATTGGTCTGGTGATGAAGGCATTCTTCTACGAAGACACACATGGGACCTGAATCTGGGCTTTCCAATTCAATACTTGTTTGCACAGAAATCAACAGAGCACAGAAAGATTGCTACTTGAAATGGGAAGCTCTATTCAGATTGCCTGTCATTCCCTTCCTAGTGCAAGCATGTTCAAAATTCACCAATGAAACTGAGTAGAAATGCAACAGATGTCCAGTTCTACACGCAACATTTTATACCATCTTTGGATCTCCACCTGGAAATCAGCAACAGGCAAGAGTTCAGTTAAAAAAAAATAAAAAAGAAAAAGCCTACTGGAAAACAGACTTCAATCCATAGGACATGAGACCATTGCTACCTGGCCACAGCAGAGGCAATACAAACCATTAACATATCTCCTTTGGAAAGAGAAAGGATTAATGCTTTAGTTACTGTTCAGCTGATTAACCCATGCTACTGACAGTGTTCATCAGAGTAAGATCCTGCAGCAATATTGCAGATCTCCATTTCCTACTTTTCTGTATCAACAAGAGATCATCACAGTACCTTGCTGAAACATCCTCCTGCACTGAGGTACTCTTTGCCCTGAGCCATTACATTTTACACATGTCCTAACTTACATAATTGTAATATACATGCTCCTAGTTTTCTCTTTCCTTGCTGAACAAGATTGAAAAGATAAAGCAGTTGCCCTTTCTTGAGCAGCTGCTTCACAGAACATCACAGGTAGAAAGATAACTTAATTCCATACAATTTTTATAGAAGTGAATTACTAAACGAACCAAGTTTTCCCTTCAAATATGAAATACGGAAAACAAATAAAAAGGAATTCACAAGTAATTTGCAAGTACTGTACCGCCCTCTGCAGTCCATATGCAAGTTCTGCAAATACATCTGCAAAATGAACTTGCACACATTCCTTGCAAAGATCAGTAGGTCAGTAATAAAACCCCTGCAAGGTGAAACCTAGCAGAAGTAACATTTTTATATTGTCTTACTTGTTGGAATCATAGGAACACAACACAGAGACTTTTTAATTCTTCATATAAATGCTCTGCCTACTAAAGGATGTGGAAACATATGTTTTACTGCTGTTTCAGAATCGGTCAGATTCCTCAATGATACTTCTGGCATTTACTCTCTTGGAACTTGACAGAAATTTGCAATGCCCCATCTAAGAATTTTTTCTGGTTACTTCTAATAAACACCCAAAATAAACTGCATTTTTTAAAAGTTACATTAACTGATCCATCAATGACAGAAGTATATTTTACAGTTCAGGTATTGCGATATTTTATTTAACACAACTTATAACCTTAATAGGCCATTTTGCTGAGATTTGTACAGCACTGGTGGGTTGACCCTTGCTGGACACCAGGTGCCCACCAAAGCCACTCTATCACTCCCCCTCCTCAACTGGACAGGGGAGAGGAAATATAATGAAAGGCTCATGAGTTGAGATAAGGACAGGGAGATCACTCAGCAATTACCATCACAGGCAAAACAGACTCAACTTGGGGAAATTAATTTATTACCAATCAAAATCAGAGTAAGATAATGAGAAAATAAAAACTAAATTTTAAAAACACATTCCCCCCACCCTTCCCTTCTTTCCAGGCTTGACTACTCCTGATTTGCTCTGCCTCTTCCTCCCCAAAGGTGCAGAGGGACAGGGAATGGGGGTTGGGGTCAGTTCATCACACATTGTTTCTGCCACTCCTTCCTCCTCAGGGGCAGGACTCCTCACACTCTTCCCCTGCTCTAGCATGAGGTCCCTCCCACAGGAGACAGTCCTCCACAAACTTCCCCAGCGTGGGTCCTTCCCATGGGCTACAGTTCTGCACTAAGCACACCAAGGGCCCCACGCTGGATCCCTTCCACAGGGTGCAGTCCTTCAGGCACAGACTGCTCCAGCATGGGCCCCCCATGGGGTCACAAGTCCTGCCAGAAAACCTGCTCCAGCATGGGCTCCTCTCTCCACAGGGTCCAGCCAGGAGCCTGGCCCAGCACAGGCTTCCCACAGGGTCACAGCCTCCTTCGGGCATCCACCTGCTCCGGTGTGGGGTCCTCCACAGGCTGCAGGTGGATATCTGCTCCACCATGGACCTCCATGGGCTGCAGGGGGACAGCCTGCCTCACCATAGTCCTCACCACAGGCTGCAGGAGAATCTCTCCCCCTCCTTCTTCACTGACCCTGGCGTCTGCAGAGTTGTTTCTCTCACGCATTCTGACTCCTCTCTGTTCCAGCTGCGATTGTGCCTGCACAGCAACTTTTCCCCCTTCTTAAATATGTTATCACAGAGGTGCTGTCACCATTGCTGATGGGCTCGGCCTTGGCCAGTGGTGGGTCTGACAGGGAGCCAGCTGGCATTGGCTCTATCAGACATGTGGGAAGCTTCTAGCAGCTTCTCACAAGCCACCCCTGTAGTTCCCCCACTACTAAAACCTGACCACACAAAACTTCTTCACATGTACACCTTAAGACAGTATTATTTTCCCTGTTGAATTGTTAGAGAACACTTGACAGTTACCCTTGAGCCAGCTGTAGATATTTGCTAAAATGCAACTCCTTAAAAGGCCTTTTGTTTTTTAAACCTCACCCGCTCTATGTTTTTGTTTCATAACCTCCTTGTTGAATACTAGGTAAGATTTTAACTTTACTCGGACAGTAAAAGTTCTTCACTGACTTAGGAGCAATTAAGGAGAGAAGTCATGTGAGCAAATTTTATATACACATGATGAGGGCTCTGGTTATTAACATAACTTTGAGTATCTGTTGAAGTAGAGAGCACTGTAGCACATGATACCTGATAGGACTAAAAAAGCATACAGCAATGTGCTACTGTATTTCCGTAAAACAGATCTTGAGTAACTAAATTAATAGAAGTTAGCGGGTTCTTCCTCTGTAATGTAATATTTGTCCTTTGCATTTTAGTGTTTGAATATTGTTGCAAACAGAGGTTACTTACATTATGGCCAGCTGTCACCTTAACACCGATAGCATCACATAAGAAAACCATTTTCTATCAGAACACCTTCATTCCAACTTAATTTACATCTGCTTTTTTCCCTGGATCTGCAAATACAATTTTTTAAAGTAATTATCAGATTTTACAATATTTTTCTCCTCCTAAAAGAGCAAACTTTGTACCTTATGGCAACAGCACGCTATATCACCGCTAAAATGCAGGAGATTAAACTGCATTTTCTACCTCACACAAAGTCACAAAGGCAAACGAACGTCACTCATTTCTTTTTAAATCAAAATTAAGCTTTTGAAGAGCCATTCCTCTGCTCTCAGCAGAGATCTGAAGGATTCTTGTACCACAAACGTTCAAGACAGAGTACTAACAGCACTTCGTGGTTTGGGGGTCATGATGAAAGGAAACAAGCAAGGCTTGAAAACCCCTCCAGAAAAAAAAAAAAGAGGTAATAGCTCGGGCAGCTTAGTGGGGTTTCCCACCTAGCAAACGCTCCTAATCTGTTGGGCTGAGGGAAGCGAGCCCAGCAGGAGCGCCCCCAGCCCCCCGAAGGCGGTTCCCCTGGGGCCCGCCCGCCGGGACAGCCCCCTCAGGCAGCCGCCCTGCCTCCCGCCCGGCGCTGAGGAAGGCTGATGGGGACGGCGGCCCCCTCAGAAATCGGGTCGCTCTCCCAGCCGGCTGCTGTTCCTCAGCGTGCGGCGACGCAAACGGGACACGGCCCTGCCCGCCGGGTAATCAGCGGCCGACGGGAGGCACCCGGGCGCAGCGGGAGCGGCGGCTCCAACGGCCACCCCACCGCGCGCGGCGCCTCCAACGCTTTCAGCCGCCGGCCTCGGCGCGCGGGGCTCCGCCAACGGTTTCCAACGGCCACCCTCAGCCCCGCTGTGCCGCCGCCGCTCCCCTCCAAGGGCCCTGGCTGCAGCGGGCGCGCCCAGACGAGCCGCTACCCCGTCCCCAGCGCGGGGAGAAGCGGGGCGGCAGTGCCGACAGAAAACCCGCTGCCGGCCCACCCCCTCCGGCACCGCCCCGCCGAGCGACCCAAGCAACGGCGGCCGCTTTACCTCGGCGACGCTCCGCCCCGCTGGCGGCAACCGTTGCTGCGCGACGAGCGGAGCCGACGGCGGCTGAGGGGCAGCTTGGTGCCTCCGGCCCGGCCCGCACCCCCGGGGCCAGACCGTGGCCGAGCCCCCCGGGGACCCGCCGCCCCAGGCTGTCCCGCGGGAAGGGCAGGAGCGAGGCCTCAGGGAGCCCTTGTGGCCCGGACACACCTCCGACCGGCCCGAGCCGCACGCTTCCCACCCGCCTCAGCGGGGCCCCGAGCAGCCGCCTTTTGAGGGCTTTGAGCCTGAACGAGACCCTTATCAGCCTCAGCAGTCGGAACCGGGACCAGCTTCCTACGAATACCAGGGGGTAAGGCAAGGGTCTGATCACACAGGGCTAAGAAAGAGCATCTCTCAGCCAGAAGCACCCGACCAAGACCCCTACCAAGAACACGACCAAAGAGGAAGTGTCGGCCAGACCCATGCACCGGGACGAGCACCGCATCAATCACAGACCCCAATGCAACACCTCTATCATCCACGGGGAGCAGAACAAGCCTCTTCAACGCTACAGGTGCCAGAAATAAACATCAGCCAGAGACACGTGCTGGGACAAGACTCTCATCAGGCACAGGAGGCAAGGCAAAGCATGTATCAGTCGGATGCAGTAGGATTAGACCCTCACCAAACACAGGAACCAAAAAGTGCCTATCAGACGTACGCAGTAGGGCGAGATCCCTATCAAGCCTACGAGCGTGCGCATGGCCCCTATCAGCCACGTGAACCAGGTTATGGTCTTCATCAGCCAGGACACAGTCCGTATGATGATCAGATACCCGATCCCGAATCCCGAATGCTGGCAATTCAGAATGCAAAAGCCTATTTACTGAAGAGCAGCACAACATCTGGCCTGAACTTGTAAGTCTGAAAAAGGGACACAGTTGAAATGGGTAGGAAGTACAAGTGGAGAGAAAAGTAGTGTTGGTAAAAGGGCAAAGGGTTATGTTGAGAAAGGGAGGGATACCACAGGAGTATATATAGAATGGGAGAATATGTTATAAATGCAATAGTTCATCGCTATGTGATACTTGTGTGGGTCCAACATCTTTCGGAATCAAAATTCCCAAGGGAATTTATAGAGTTCAAAGGGAAACTGATTTGATTAAGAGCAAGTTTAAATTCAGCGTCAGGTCCTGCGGCAGGTGCAGTATATACCAAAAATGGAACATGGGTCTACTCCTAAGTATATTATAATCAGGCTAGCTTCAAGTCTATAATTTCCTATAATGCTCCATGATCCCCTTTCATCTAACTATTCCAATGATTCCTCCAAAGCTCCAGGTGATTAGCTTCTACTTTTGATATTAAAAACATAATATTCTAAGACTTCTGTGTAGTAGGCCAATAATATTTACATTTATATGACAGATATGATCATCTTGCTAATATGCTAACAAAGATCCTGGATGAACAGCCCACAAATGCAGTAGACATAATTGAGAATATCAGCAAGGATGTGAAGTGGGCTCAGTTTCAGAAAAAAATGGACACTCTTCGAGATGAACACGAGATTCTTCCAACATTTGAAGCTGCAGAAAAGCGTAAAGCTTTGTTCCTCAAGGCAAATGGAGAAGGAGATGAAGAACTAGAAGAAGAGATAGTGAGTTATTATCAGAGAAGAACAGATATCATATATTCCAAGGAATGGGTGGGAGTATGGTGGGAAGGGAAAGGAGGACGGGAGGTAGTTGTGGTCTCCTTTGTAGTATTGCCCCTCATGATCATATGAATAATTGCAGCCACAGTACCACATATCCTCTTCATAGCTGAGTTGGTCCCCTGTCTAGTTGTGAAGAAGAAAACCCATCTGGTTACTTAGTTGGGATTTTTTCTATAGTAAATCTAATATCTGGAGCCTTTAAAATCATAGATGTTCTAGAGATGATAAAAAGAAAGTAAAGTTTACAATATCTCCCATATGCCAGTTCAGCATGGAATACTGCATCCAAATTTCTTTTCTTTATCTAAAAGTGACATTTCTTTACCTAAAGTGAGCATAATTCTGGACACCAGTTCAAGAATATTGTGTACAGCTGCTACTGTAAAATAGAGAATGGAGAATTTTGTGATCCTTCCAGCTCCAGCTGTGGTTCCAGTCTTTCCTTCTTCAACTAAATAAAAAATATGGTTATAATGAAGAACTACTAGAATGAAAAAGCCACTTCTTAAAACAGGGATTTTTCAGTATTCAGTTGCTTATATGCAGAAGCATTTGTACCCAATGAAAAATCAAGAGAATTCTTCTAATAACCAAGGGAAAATAATCAACAAGATGTTGATTTTCATATTGCCATTGCAGAATACAAATACTAACAACAGAAGAGATAGCCTTTCATCTTTTCTATAGCCTATTACTTATTTTACAGTAACAGTATATGATGGTAAAAATGGAAAAAGTAGGGTATTTCAGAAAAGAATTTTGAAATTTTCATACTCCTGTCTATCTTGCTTTGATATAAGAAACCTGGCAGGGCCCAAGAAATTCCATACGCAACTAGTACTACATCTTCCAAATTCCCTACCCTGCCATGTACAACTTCTAATATCTTTGTCTGTGTGCTATAATCACCTACCCCCATGAAATGAGAGAAGGGTGATAAAGAGAATGGAAATACTTAATGAAATCTTCATTATTGGCCTAGTTCTCCTTCCACGGAAGCCAGCTGGAGTCTTAATATGGACTTCAGTAAGAACAGGGGCCAGTATTTTAAAAAATGCAGGGAGCTTTACGCCAGGGTTTTCAAAAGAACAACATTCACTCCAGAGAAATATTGCTGGTTTGGTGTCTAAATGTATAAAATATGTATTATATTTTCCCCAAATGCATCTGCCGCAAACACAAGGAAACACAGTGACACTGTGGGCATCAAGGCTTCTTACATAGCTGACACGCCCTAGCACTGAAGTCCTTTGTAGATCCTGTGTAAGAATTCTGACCTTCCTTATTTTGCAGTAATTAGGAGTTTGACTTTTGAAATCCTGTATTCTAAAAGCTGCAGTTCATCGGTGTTCTCTTCTTTAACCTTAAAATGGCATTTTTAATTTTTCTAAATGATAGTGGAAGATGTAGTAAGTGAACGTCTGTAAAGTGCTTTGAGAGAATAAGTGGCACTACAGGAAAGTAAAGTATAACATTTGGTGGATAACATGTTTAATTTTTCAAATAGATAATTACATTGTTCTTCAGCTCTAACTCTGGATCTTCTTTCCCAGGGAGAGACCCCTCTACCTAATGTGATGGAAACAGCCTTTTATTTTGAACAGGCTGGAGTTGGCTTGAGCAAAGATGAATCCTATCACATATTCCTTGCCCTTAAAAAACTAATTAGTGTTCAGCCAATCCAGACCTGTCGCTTCTGGGGCAAAATTTTGGGCCTGGAGATGAACTATATTATAGCTGAAGTACAGTATCATGAGGGGGAAGAAGAGGAGGAAACAGAAGAGGAAGAAGTTATTGAGGAAGGAGGGAAAAGGAGGGGTGAGGTTGAAGATGAAGATGAGGAGAAAGAAAAAGAAGATGAACCACCAAAGTCCACCTATAAGCCCCCACCTGTCATCCCAAAAGAAGAAAATGGGACCGGGGCTAATAAATATGTCTACTTTGTCTGTAATGAGCCAGGCAAACCCTGGGTGAAGTTGCCTCCAGTGACGCCAGCCCAGATTGTCTGTGCCAGGAAAATCAAGAAGTTCTTCACTGGTAGGCTGGATGCTCCTGTTGTGAGCTTTCCTCCTTTCCCGGGAAATGAGGCCAATTACCTGCGTGCACAGATAGCTCGGATCTCAGCAGGAACCCATATCTCTCCCATTGGATTTTACCAGTTTGCAGAGGAGGAAGGAGATGAAGAGGAGGAGGGGGGGGGAGGAAGAGATACATATGAAGAAAACCCTGATTTTCAGCCTCTTTCTGTGGTTGAAATGGTGGATTCTCTCTCCACATGGGTACACCACATACAGAATATTCTAAAGCAGGTATGTTCTGGCATAGCTCACACTGACCTCGGATACTGTTCACACTGTAGTACCTGTAGGGTTTCAGAACGTAAATGACACTCCTCACCTGCACATTTGAACTATTCACCAGAAATGGTATTGGACTGAAATATTTTTCTACAGAAAATATATTTTATATAGTATATAATATATAAATATGCTGCACATATTTACATACAGCATATATTTATCTATATATATGTATTTAGGAACCTTCTAGGTTTAGTATTTCAATGGTGTGTTCTTGAGATTGAAACCTATCTTTAGATAACAGTATGGAGTTAGGCCTTGATAGTTAATAAAAATTTCTGGTAATCTTCTATAATATTTTTTCTCCTTTGAAGTCCTTACTTGACAAAAATGTTTTAAATTCTCTTTTCTTGGGTAGGATGCTAAAATGCAGATAGCTTATTATAGTTTGCCAGATGGAACTTACTTGATGTTTTCTTCTGGTTTATTTTTTGTTGCTTACTTTCTGCTGTGAAACATGGAAATGAAAATGCTTAGAAGCTTGTGATATCAGGCTAGTGCTGGAAAGAGGTATTACTAATTTGATGACCATTGCTGGACAACTTGCTGGCCAGTCAAGAATGCTAGTGCGAAATAACAGCAAACAGTAGGAAATAAGGTTTAAAATTATTACCAGCAAAACCATAGTTGTAAAAATAAAATCTATGTGCATTAGAATCTTAAGAAAATTTTGTTACGTTCCTCTGACTTGTAGCTAAATAACAAGGCAGACTTCAAAAGGAAGGGGAAAGTCCCTAAGTTAAGCCTCTTAGTTTGCAGTCATCTAGCAAGGATATAAACTAAACTGGCAAGGAACTGAAGACTACAAAATAACAAAAAGCTGATGACAGAGGTATAAGGGTATTCTGAAATAGTAAGCAGGGACGAGGGAGGAATGAGGGATATAGGGAACGCTCTGCCAAGAGGATACAATATTCTGCCAACAATATACCAGTTGTGGAATATGTATTTTTCTTTTCTCCCCCCCCCCCCCCCCCCCCCCCAGGGCCGGCAC